GGGGTGCTGGTGGTGTGCAGGGGTGCTGCCAGCTAAAGCCTTCTGCAGGGATGCCAGCGGACTGTCGCAGACCTTCTGCTAACCCTCAGGCAGCTCCATAGGAATGGGATTTTTGGGGTTTTTTTTGGTATATTTTTTGGTTGTGTGTTTTTTTTTTTTCTCCTAGGGTATAGCTTTTACTTATAATTAGGATTAAAATATTTTTGGGAAAGAAGAATCCAAGGGACTGCTCGGGGCAGCTGCAGGCGGTGCATCCTTGGAGCTGTGTCTGCATTAAGGCAGTTGTACGGTGGGGATTAGATTGTGGGGGGTCTAACGCTGAGCGGCTCCCCTGGCGCACAGCTCCTGGTTGCGCCGCGGTTCCCCCCGCGGGCGCAGCGGGTCCTGGTTTCTCTGCAGTTTCAGGTTTGCATCTGGCGCAGGGTGACGAGCTTTCAGTGTGGCACACCGAACACTCACGCTGTCAGCATCGACTGGATTTTGCCTGCTTACATCCCATGTTTTGTTATTTCATGCAATGTTTATACTGAATTAAATAATTTACAGAATTTGTTATTATTTTGTCTAGTTTTATTTTTAAATAAACTCCACGCCTGTTTTGTTTCAGCGGAGCAGGCTCTGGACTCTCTTGGTTCGGGATATTTCAGATGTGAAATGTTTCTCTCTCCCTGGGTGCAATCAGGGAGTCAGACCTGCTGTTTAAAATCCAGTCGCTTTTTGGAGCCAATATTTCAGCATGCAGCAACCTCACAGTTCTTTGTTTTTAAGCACTTGCGTCGCTTTCTTATCTCGGCTGCATGACGAGTAATTCCTATTTTGGATAGTATAGTTTATATATTCTATTTTTGTTATAGAATAGTAGCAAAAACTGTTTTTTGGTATTTAGGAGCTGACTGTTATTGCAGAAGCTGCTGGAAAAAAGCCATTTCCCATTTGAGCATGTGTGGGTCGGGGTCCGCTCCAGGCTGTGGTGCTCTGCAGACCCCTCCGGGCAGCAGCGCATTGGGAGCTCCAGCTCGCGCAGGTTTTCCCCTGGCACAAAGGTCTTTCCCAGTGCTGGGTTAAATTTTCTTTCTGGTGGATTTGCACTGAACAAGAGGTGCAAAGCAAGCTGAACTGGGTCCCAGAACCAAAAGGAAAGGGAGAGAAGTTTGGAGATAAGGAACCTGGGCAGCCAGCTTCAAACCCAGAACTGATTTTTTTTTTTTCTCCAATCTCGTGTGAATCCAGGTACCTTGAAACTTCCAGTTATCCCCTCTGCCGTTCCCAATGTCCGAGAGCATCTTATGCATCCCTGCAAACACTTGACTGTCCCTCTCTCCTTGCCTGACTTCTTCCCTCTGCTCTGGACTTGCAGAGCATCAGCTGAAGGGTTTGTGCAACGAGGGCTGACTCTGTTCCAAGTGGAGGTGCCTGGAAGAAACATCTACTCCCATGGTGTTAAAATCCAGCGAGGAGAAAATTTGGGCACCCCTCCCACTAGCCCAGGTTGCTCAAAGCCTCAACCAGCCTGGCCTTGAACCCCTCCAGGGATGGGGCATCCACAGCTTCCCTGAAAATAGTGCTCTGCAGCGTCTTCTGCCTTTGCTTTCAGGTGACACATGCCACCACTCAACCTCACCAGCTTGGCACCAGCAACGTTCATCCTGGCCAGTATCCCGGGCATGGAGCGGTCGCACATCTGGATCTCCATCCCCTTCTGCTCCATGTACCTGGCGGCGCTGCTGGGCAACGGCGTGGTGTTGTTCGTCATCAGGACGGAGCGCAGCCTCCACCAGCCCATGTTCCTCTTCCTGGCCATGCTGGCCATCGCCGACCTGATGCTGTCCACCACGACGGTGCCCAAGATGCTGGCTCTCTTCTGGTTCAGCATGGGGCAGATCTCCTTCAGCGCCTGCCTGGCCCAGATGTTCTTCCTGCATTTCAGCTTCTCGGCAGAGTCGATGATCCTGCTGGCCATGGCGTTCGACCGCTTCGTTGCCATCTGCTACCCGCCGCGGTACGGGGCGGTGCTGACACACTCGGCTGCGGTCAAAACCGGGCTGGTGGCTTTGCTGAGAAGCTTCTGCATCATTTTCCCCTGTATATTCCTTCTGCAGCGGCTGCCCTTCTGCGGGCACCATGTCATCCCGCACACCTACTGCGAGCACATGGGCATCGCCTGGCTGGCGTGTGCCGACATCTCTGTCAACGTGCTGTACGGCCTCGCGGTGCCTTTTGCAGCGATAGTGCTGGATGTCATACTCATCGCTGTCTCCTACGTATTAATTCTCCTGGCGTTATTCAGACTCCCCTCCCGGACTGCCCGGCTCAAGGCTTTCAACACCTGCAGCTCTCATGTCTGCGTTATTTTACTTTTCTATATTCTGGCTTTTTTCACTGTTTTAAGGCACCGCTTCGGTCAGGAGATCCCCCACCACGTCCACATCCTCTTGGCCAACTTCTATGTGCTCTTCTTCCCCATGGTGTACGGCGTGCGGACACAACAGATAAAAGAGAAAGTTGTGAAAGTGTTTGTCTGCCCCAAGAGCCACTTGCTGCGAGAGTAAGAGGGAGCTGTTGCTACCGGAAAGTGATGAACACCTTGGTGGGACTCCCAGCTCCTCATCCCAGATGCTCTTCGCACCGTTCCAGACAACACACCCACGTCTTGCGCTGTCACAGTCCGATACAGAACAGCCGGCATCCCTGCCTCAGTTTCCCCAACAGTTTGTAGAAAATGTAAGAAAAAAGTCAGGATCTCCCATCGGCTGTGGAAGGAGAGGGATCAAAGAAAGGAGAACCCACCCCAGATATATCACTTGTGGGAAATCCCTACAAGGTGGAGGCAGGTGGCTTTCACTTCAGTGTGACGGTAAATCCACGTCTCAGCCATTTTCTGTGGAGTCGGGTGAAAAGACGTGTAATGAACGGGTTCTTCTGAATCACAGGTGTGTGGCGGAGTTCATTTGAGGAATTGCTTCTTTATTAAAATTCATAGTGTTGAGAAAGTCTCCAGAAGGAATAACTCAAAATAAAAGCAAGCCTTGCACGTGAGCATGCATCAGGTCTTTTTATTCCTTAACCGTATTATTTACTTTCAGTAAATACGTGGGAGAAAAGCTGTTCCCAAAAGAACATGAAGCTGTTTATTTTTTAATAAGATAGGCTATAATAGAGAGGGGGAAGCTTTGGAGGCATCAGATCACTATCACAGCTGTACCTTTGGCTCCACAAGCATCAATCTCTGCTCAAGCAGGCGCCCAGTGCTCTGAGCATCCTGTCCTCATGGACCCCCAAAAAGCTGTCCCCAAGAGAAAGCTGCTGCCCTTTTTAAAGAGGAGCTGAGAGCTCAGGGACGGGTTAGAATAAGATGGAAGGACACGATGAGGTGGGATCACAGCTGCAGAGAAAGATGTGATGCTTTCTTGCACTGGGGAAGTGCAGGAGGGCCATTGTCCTCCGCCCCGGGGCTGAGCCTGTGGGACGGTGGCAGTACCTCCCACGGGGCTGGAAGATGAAGATGCATCTGGGCCAGAGGGGAACGGCTCCTCCTTTCCACCTGTCCTGGTTAAACCGTTCTCATCTCAACCCACGGGTCTCTTTTGACCCCTTTAATTCTCTCCAGCATCTCTGGGAGGTGGGAGGGTGAGCGAGCGGCTGCGTGGGGTTTTTCTGCAGGACAGGGTCAAACCACAACACTACCTCTGCCAGGTGGGAGATGAATAGCCCAGTGAGGCCACCGAGGTATCAGACACCCTCCCTGTGGCTAAAAATGAGCAGCTTGGAAACTTCCCTCCACCAGAGGGTCCTTTCCAGATGTTTGTTGCTAGCCAGATGTTTTGCTGATGCCCAGACCCCACCAGCCCCTCGTGCAGCCCAGCACTGGGTGTTCATTTTGGTGTACAGCTGCCAGAGCGGGGAGCCAGGGGATGTCTCAGTGCTGCAGCAAGGTGTCCTGCCTTTGGTGGCATGTGCCGTCACCGCTGGCACTCGATGCACACCAAAGTCCTGTGTTCAGGTTAGGCAGCATGCGCGCTAAAATGGGAGTGTGACATAGTGACAACACACAAAATGTGTGTGCAAAACAGTCCTGGGGAACCTTTGCCTCCTGCAGCCAAGTGCCATTCCTCTAGTAAGGCGTGAACACTAACCATCCCATCAGCTCAGAACTTCATCTTCCAGAGAAAACAGCCTGTCTGGTGGTGGTGTGCCAAATTCTTTGGAGCCAAACCTCATCTTGCCTTTTCTTGTTGGTCACAATATAAATGCACTTATTTTTTCCTATGCAGAAGTGAGAAATGTCTATTTTTAACTACTTTATCAACGAACAATCTCTGCCTTTAGCCTGCAATTGGTAATGATTACGGGCTTAAGTACCATTAAGAGAGTGTTTGCCTGAAGAAGTAGAGTCCTTCAAGCACTGCTTAAGAATAATTCTGCCATTCCTAATCTTCTGCTCGTACACGGGGCTGATTGCACGAACCTGCTGCAAATCAGGAATTTCAAAGGGCAGAGCAAGGCTCGTTCAAAAGGGGATCCGACAGCCTGTAGCTAAGGCTACTGTCTCCATGGCTGGCAAAGGACATGTTTCGTTTTGCTGCTTGAGCATCTTCTGCTGCGTCGAAACCGCAGAAATATTTCAGCCCTCTCTGCCATGGGTTCATCTGAAACGGGGAGGAGAACGATGATGTGACCCCCTGAGCATCCCCATCTCCTCAGTGGGGTTTGGGTGGAGGGAGACTCCCAGAGCTGTTTGTGACTGCCACTAGTGAAACTTCCAAGGAAAGCTTGGTTAGAAACACCCCAGGCTTCAGTTTGGACAGATGAGGGCAGGTTGCCCTTCTGGAGATCCTTAGGAGATCTGTCCGGGGTCGTGCAACCCCTCGCCTGACCTAAAGAAAAAAGTTGTGCAAGGAATTGCAGTTAGGAGCAGGAAGGGGAAAAGGAGGCAGAATATAAATATATAATTTTATTATATATAAATATATCAGAATATAATCTGATGAGATTCAGACGTGGCTTTGAAGTACGTGGGCATGGGCAGGAGGTTGAGGACGGGACCATGGAGCGGTGAGAGTGCAATCTTCAGAAGCGGTCCTTAGATCTTCTGAAGGATTTGTGCAGGCCAGCACAGTGGTACCTGCAAGGTTGTCCCACGGGTGGTGGATCATGCGGGACCTGCAGGACTGCACCCACCCCAGCTCCCGGTCAGGAGCAGAAACCCCCAGAACAGACAATCCCATTTTGTCTCTCTGGCGTGGCCAGGATGGGACATAGCTCATTGTTTTGCCAATGGACGGCGTGAGCACAAAGGACACAGGCACCAAATTAAAGAACTAAAATTATTTTTACTTAAGTGTAAAGTGATAAAATAATGAAGAAAATAATACAGTGAAAATACATTAAAGCAAGATAAGGTAAAGCATCAAAATAATAAGTGAACTACTCTAGCAAGCAGAAAATAAGGTAAGGCACCTCATCATTACTACACAGAGTTAGCGACAGTGATTCAGAAAGATCCATCACCGATTGCCCTGATCGTACGTTACCATCATCCAGATCCGCAGTCGCTGGGGAGCCCGGTTGCAGCGAGGATTTGGAGAGAACCCTTCCCGGCAATTGGGAAATCTCTGTACAGTGCGTCCACCGTATAGATGAGGCTCCCAAATTTCCCCGCAAACATTCCCCGCTTTTATACAGTGGAATAAACAACTTTCTATACTAAGCTACAAAAAAACCATCTGGTGTGGTTTTCTCCTTGTTAGCTTCTGTCTCGAGCCTGGCTGGAGCAGGAGAGGGGAGATATTCTCTTCCTGCTGTTGCCCACTGTAAGGGTAACGGCAAGGCCGGCCCGCGGGCACCCGTGCGCTGGCCTAACACCCGTGGAGCAGATTTTTACCGTTAGTGAAGACTGCACCACTTTCAGGATGGTATTCCTTTGCCTTCCAACACATACACACGGGATAAAGCCAAATGTTAATGACAGTCTGTTGTAGTTTTACCTCATCAGTGTCAGCAAACGTTCACCATCTGTATGTGTGCAGGTTCATAAACTCTGAAAGAAGCCTCCCGTGGATGTCAACAGGGTTGGGTTGGTCTTCTTAGCTAAAAAAGCATATAACGTGAATCAAATAAATTAACAGTCAGAGTTGGTAACCGTGAAGCAGGTATTCCTTTGTTTGCAGCGCTGGGCATCACTGGGCATAGCTCTGCCTTCAGTGCTCCAATGGACGAGCAAAACTGCAGAGAAGAGATGTTGCCAAGTTACACATACTCAGTAAACTCCCTGGAATTATTTGACATAAACATAAGATTTCCTGGAACTCATTGATATGTGCAAATGTCCTTTTGCTCATACGCAGAGGTTCCTTCTGGTGGTCTTCAGTGGTCAATGGATGAAGTAAGTAGTCTCCATCACTTTGCCCGCTAGTAGAACTTTCTTCTGATTCTGCGCAGCGGTGTCCCTTTTTCTCAATTAATTTTCTTGTCTTCGTACTCTTCCAAGATTGGCTAATTTCTTGATTAGTGCTCACAGATGTTCTCCCTCACCTGATTGTTCTGTTCCTAAACCATTATAGTTACGGTTCAACATTTACTTCTCTAAGACACCTTAAGACCTTCCATCTATTGCCCAGCGACACAACATTCCGGAGTTAATTTAAATTTTTACAATAATTCAGCAGCTTTCCTTCAGAGGGTGGAAAGCCTTGGCCAGCGATGCATGTCATGACCTAAAGGGTCACGCTCACATCCGCAGCGTTGGGGATGACACGGGGAGAAGCTGGTCCTGGAGAGAGAAGGTGCTGGACAACATCTCCCCAGGGCTGCACTGAGCCTTCCATGAGTGACTTGATGGGCACCAGACCTCCTCCTGGCTTTGGAGGTGTTGCCTTGCTGCAGAAGGTCTAGACAGAGTGTCTGGAAACCCCAACTCCATCCTGAGGAGTTATTTGATTTGCAGGTCGCACACTCGGAGTGTTTTCTTCCATTGCTCTTGCCAATGATTTTTTTTATGGTCAGTTTGTGCTAATACTGGTTTCCTATCGATAAAGGCGAGACATTTATTGCTGTTCCAGAATAAGCCAAAGCTTTCTCCTCTATTTGAGAAGACTGATGTTATTTTTTTGCTAGCACCTGTGGTGCGTAAACTATTGTTTTCAATTTTAACTGTACGAAGACAACTGTGGATGATTCAGTTTTGCTTCACAGTTATTGTGCCTCCTGGAATTCCCTTCCATCAGCTCGTTCAGTTTAACTGCTCTCTTGGCTGTCCTTTCCCAGTAACACTTGGAAGTTCCTTCATGCTCAAGTTCTCTGCATGGTTCCCCTCTCCAAGAGCCCCTTTGGTGTCTGCTCCTTGGGTTTTGGAGCAAGCAAAAGTGACTTCAGCCTTGATGGGACCTGGCTGCACACTTTATTTCTTAATTTTACTCCTGCTATCCCCATTGTTCCCTATTTATATTGTTTGTATAAAATTATTGATGAGCAATTTGCTGTAACGTTAACCCTTTCCGCCAGCTCGTCCCTGTTGCTGGGGTTGGGACCAGGAAGACCAGAGATGGAGAAG